TTCTAAATCACTGATTTGATCCTCTGCTTCATTTGTTCTACTGTTGATTCCCTCTAATGTGTTCTTCATTTCAGTTATTGTAGTCTTTATTTCTGACTGGTTCTTTTTTAATGTTTTCTATCTCCATTTTTATGTTTCCTATTTCTTTGTTGAAGTTCTCACTGAGCCTACTGAACATCTGTATAACTAGTGTTTTGAACTCTGTGTCTGGTAAATTGCTTGTCCCCATTTGTTTAGTTCTTTTTCTGGAGCTTTGTTCTGATCTATTATTTGGGACATGTTTCTTTGTTTCCTCATTTTGGCTGCCTCCCTGTGTTGGTTTCTATGTATTAGGTAGGGCTTCTGTGCCTCCCCATCTTAGAAGAGTGGCTTTATGTAGTAGGGGGGCCCAGTGGCACCATCTGCCTGGTCACTTGAGCTGGGTCCTCCAGGCATGTTCCTTGTGTGGGTTGTGTGTGTCCTCCTGTTGTAGTTGAGCCTTGGTTGCTATTTGCTTATCAATAGGAGGGATTGAATCTCAGGCTGATTGGTTTTGAGGACTAGCCATGACTACAATGGAGGAGCAGTTGTGCAGGAACTGACCCTACAGAGCAGGATTCACTTTAGCAGGGCTCTGGTGCCTGCCCAGTCTGCCCTGGTAATGTTCTGGCTCTTGCAGTTGGGTATGCCAGCCCCGGGACTTTTGGGAAGAGTCCTTGCCACAGGCCAAGTTCAGCCTCTGCCTGTGCCCTGCTCAGACCATCTGGCATGAGCCACAAAGCAATCCACAGGTGGGTGCCACTCATGCTGAGCTTGGATATACCTTGAGAGGCCAAGCCATGAACTGAGACCAGCTTTTGTTAATGCCAGGCTTGGGGTTGCTCAACATGAAGCACAGGATACACAGAAGCCAGATGCTGCTTGTTTGGGTTTTGTGAACCTTTGAGAAATTTTAGGAAAGTCTGCAGACAGGACTTTGGAAAAACCACTGGAAGTCACGTGGGTGGGCCCACAAGTTGGGTGGGTTGGGGTCTCAGGGAATCACCAGGACAGGGTGAATGAATGGTGTTAGCCAGGTTAATGGTGACTCAAATATGGTAGCCGAGTTCATCTGCACATAGGGAGAGGGTAGGGCTCAAAAAAGAAACAATAGTTTCCACCAGCTCCTCTGTCTGGGAGAAAACTGCCCCTCTAGCCTTTGCCCTGAAGGAACAACTCAATTCCTCCCTGTATGTCCCTGGTGCCTTTTGAGCTGCTGCCCCAGTGCTGAAGCTCAGAGCAAGTGAGTTCATCAGTGAGCAAGTCCGTGCACAGGCCCTTTAAGAGAAATGTGTGGGACCCCAGCCACCCTCCTCTCACCCAGTCACAATCTCCACTGGTTTTCACAGCCAGAAGTTATGGGGACTTCTCTCCCTGGCACTGGAACCCTGAGCTGGGGAGCCTGGTGTGAGGCTGGGACCCTTCGCTCCTTGGCAGTTGGGGGAAACTCTGCAGCCTAGATATGCCTTCCCATTTTTCATGGTCATACGATGTGTGGGACCAGCCCTTTCCATGTCTCTACCCCTCATATTAATCTTGAGGTGGCTTCTTCTCTATGTTTTTAGTTGTAGGGCTTTGGTTCAGTTAGACTTCAGGTGATTCTCAGTAATGGTTGTTCTGTAGTTTAGTTGTAATTTTGATGTGGTCATGAGAGGAGGTGAGCACAGCATTTGCCTACTCCACCATCTTAACTGGAAATCTTTCATGTATGTTTTTAATGTCTACAGGATTTTCATTTGTGAATTGTGAGTCTTTTGTGAATTTCATTTGTGCATTGTGTTGGGGATTATTAAAAAGGGTGGGAACTCAGGATTCAGAATAGTAAAAGGAAGTGAAGTCGATGGCACAGAAGCAGCAGAGGTTGTGCAAAGAGGTCTTGGAAAAGTTAAAGGAAGAAGAAAGGACAAAATCATTCTGATTCTTACAATTGTATTCTGGTGGTTTTGTAAGGAGCGAAGGAAGAAGAGAAAGGAGGTGAGACTTCTGTGAGAAGAGCTGTGGAGCCAGGAGGAAGAAGAGATAGGAAGGGGAGATCATGAGGCAGGATTGGGAGCAGGAGTCAATAGGTCATGCATTACTAATTAGCAATACATTGAACATACGGATGGAGAAACAGATACCACCCTAATTCCATAGTCCATGTATACTATCTGCAAAAAAGCAAAATATCTTTGAATGTGCCTTGTTGAAGATGCAAAAGAGAGTAAAGGTTGGAAAGTAGCAATCAAGCATACAACAGACCCCATTACAAACTTAAGATGTGTAAATGTCTTTGATAATATTAGTGTTCTGAATTAATAATTTTATTTTTATAAATGCAAAAAAAGTGTATAAGGGCTTCCTTTGGTGTACTCTCACACTCCATCCCCTCCCCCAATATCCAGCAGCTCTAGAGCAAACCCTCATTGTTGCTGTTTTGTCAGCTCCACCTTAAGCAAGAGATCATTCCCTGTGGGTTGACTGCTCTTGAAGACTCTTGGATTTAAATCTAATCTTGCTCTCGACCCACCCATGTGGAGTTCTTCCTTGCTTCCTGGAGCCACCTTGCTTGGTTCTCAGACATTAGTTTACCTTTACCTCCCATCCCTCACTGCAGGTCAGCTGTTGTCTTCCTCAGTCAATGTCTGTAATGCATGTCTCTGTTCTGGAACACTTTTCTATAAGAGAAGAGGTCAGACACCCCTGATTTTTCTTGCATTCAAGATTCTAAAATCAATCATAAATTCTGCCATTTCTTGCTTTAAGGAGCCCAAACTCAAGTGGTGGAAGAAGAAAGAGAGGTATTATATTTATTTACATAATACCAGTTTATATTGAGTGGACACTTATGTGCCAGAGACCAAATATGCTAAACGTTTTATCCACCTTCAGTGTTGTAAGATGTTTTCTGTTGCACTAAAAGATTTGCTGGGTGCAGTGATCTTTAGGAAAACATAATCCTGAAAATATTAATAGTTCAGAGAGTTAGCATTGTCCTGTGTTGGAAGATTCTAACCCACCCTATTTTATCCTTTTTTAAAGTTGACAAATAATTCACAATGTCCAGCTTTCTCCACATGTTAAGCTTTTAAACAAACCCTGGATGAATGTAACTAAAGAAATGTATTCAACTCAAAATGCCATTTTACTGTTATCATACCCATTTCTTAAAAAAAAATAAATAATAGCAAAAATCTTATCACTTGATCTCAATGTCACCTCACATAAACAGCAACTTACCAGCCATTTTTGCTATTTTTATTATTGTGGCTGAACAGAACAGGCCTAAAGCAGTATTACATTTCTCCATAATATCAAATTGCACCACCTTATTTAAAGGAGTAATTTTATGTAGATACTATCTAAAATTTAAATGGCACTTCAAAGTTTTTCAAACTTGTTTTCTAAATTTTTGAAACCAATGAGTCAACATGCAACAGCGTCCTTTGATTTCTTAAGACAGTTTTTATGGCATCCAATTTCCATTCCATCTTCCTAGCTCTGGTTTCAATTTTTTAAAACTTATAAAATAGACACAATGAAAAATTTTCCATTTGAATAATTTTTGCAGTTTAGTGGAGTTACATACATTCACATCGTTGTGCAATCAGCATCACTACCTATCTGCAGAACTTTTTCATCTTTACAAAGTGAAATTCTGTACCCACTAAACAATAAATCCCCATTTTCCCTTCCCCCATCCATAGAAACCACCATTCTATTATCTGTCTCTAATGATTTTGACTACTTTAGGTTCTTCATTTAGGTGGAATCATAAAGTATTTGTCCTTTTGTGTTTGCTTATTTTCACTTAGCATAATGTCTTCAGAGTTCATCCATGTTGTAGCATATGTCAGAATTTCCTTCCTTTTTAAAGGCTGAATAATATTCCATTATGTATGTAACACATTTTGTTTATCCATTAAAATCTGTTGATGGACACTTGGGTTGCTTCCAATTTTTGGCTATTGTGAAGAACAATGCTGCTATGAACGTGGATGTACAAATATCTCTTTGAATTCCCATTTTCAGTTCTTTTGGGTATATACCCAAAATTGGAATTGCTGGACTATATGGTAATTATGTTTAATCTTTGGAGGGACCACCATACTGTTTTATAGTGTCTACACCATTTTACATTCTCATCAACAATGCACAGGGGTTCCAATTTCTCTACATCCTCACCAACAACTTGTTCTTTTCTGTTTTTTGTTTGTTTTTTGGATAGTTGCCATCCTAGTGGGTATGAAGTGGTATCTCATTGTGTTTCTGATTTGCATTCTCCTGATGATTAATGCTGTTGAGCATCTTTTCACGTGCCTTTTGACCATTTGTATATCTTCATTGGATAAATATATTTCCTTTGCCAATTTCTTAATTGGTTTATTTGTTTTTTGTTGTTCAGTTATAGGAGTTCTCTGTATATTCTGGATATTAACCTCATCATATATATGACTTGCAAATATTTTTTCTTATTCTGTGAGTTGCCTTTATATTCTGTTGATAGTGTGCTTTGATATACAAAGATTTTTCACTTTGAAGTAGTCCAATTTATCTATTTTTTTTCTTTTGTTGCCTGAGCTTTTGGTGTCCTGTCCAAGAAGTCATTGCCAAATTCAATGTCATGATGCTTTCCCCCCGTTTTCTTCTAAGAGTACTATAGTTTTAGCTCCTCTATTTAGGTATTTGATTCATTTTGAGTTAATTTTCATGAATGGTGTAAAGTCAGGGTCTGACTTCATTCTTTTGCATGTGGATATCCAGTTTTCTCAGTACCATTTGTAGAAAGGTGGCTACTTCTTAAAGCAAGGATTGTTTTAGTGGGTGTTTCCAGAGCAGTTTGTTACCATTTCAAAGGTCAAATAGATAATGATTAAGTTGTGCATCACTTGAAAGGTAGATTTTGACCTCTTACAAGTTGAAGAGTACTGAAGATCTAAGATCATTTACATCCATCAGGAAGAACAAATAACTTAGCCTTCTAGGACAAAAAAAGAATGAGCTGAAAAGTTGCAGGACATTCCACAGGTCAAAGTACATCTGTCTGGTTTGCTTTCTCCAAACTTCCACACTCAGTTGGTTGGAGTGGCCTCCCTCTTACCTGACAGCGTAGGAGGGTTGGTGAAGAACATGTCTTCACCTTTTCTTTGGAGTTTGCTTATTTTATTGACATTTGCTGAATCAGATGGCGAAGCTGAAAGACTTGAGTTACAGAGACAAAAAAGAAATGCTGACCTCCAACAGTAAGTAGACACATGGATTATTTCTGCTGACAGACCAGGGTAGTTCCTCATCTATTGTCACAAATAAACAGATAAGCAAAGGTGTAATTTTTCTTGAGGAAAATAATGATGTCAAAAACCAATAGGGGAAAGCATTGGGGCTGACAGATGGACTTATTTTCTTATACACAAATTTATCATTTTGTAAATAAGGCAAGTATGCAATTACAAGGAGATATCTACAGGAAATTTGCAGAGAAAGAAATGGCAGATGAACAGGGAGAATTTGGTTGAGTTGACCGCATGGCGAAGGTGTACTCAGTCTATAGTTATTCAGTGAGAAACTTCATTCTTTGGATTTAAAAATTATATGTGCTAATGACTGATGCGTTCTCTGGTTTTAATTCTATAGACCTCGGATGGCAACAGAGAGAGGAAATTTAGTGTTTCTTACTGGGTCTGCTCAAAACATTGAATTTAGAACTGGATCCCTGGGAAAAATTAAATTAAACGATGAAGACCTTGGTGAATGTTTACATCAGGTAATACATTGGAACTATATTGAAGTAATTTTATATGTCCCTACATGCTCACTTAATTAAACAGGTCTATATTCATCTATACCTTGAATCTTGAGCACAGGGGACATAATTGGAGGTGACATAAGTCCTTGTGGAGAACGGTGCCCTAGGGTTAATGACGGGTAGAGGGAGTAATGCTAGTAGTAGAAAGTGACTGATTGTGCAGGCCAGCATACTCTAGAGAAGGACTCAAGGGTATACTGGGACTCCTCCACTAGGGGAGCAGGGCAGGGGGGACCAGAGAAAGGGATAAATGGGACCAGTTCACTTTTGCCACAGAACAGAATTGGCCAGTTATTCTCCTGCCTTACTGAGTGTTTTCAGTGCTCATTACTCGCTACACCATGCTGGTATACAAGCCATGGAGGAGAAGCTGGTGTTATTTAGAGCTTGCTGTGAGCTCCCCACTGTGCTCAGCACTCTGTGTGCATCATCTCATCCAACCCTCATGGCTACCCAGGAGCTTGGCTTGATTAGTACCCCATTAATGAGGGAGGTACAGGAACCCTGCAGCACCAAGGACACACACGAAAAAATGGCTGAGCCAAGATTTAAAACTTGAACAGTCTGATTTCAAGCCATGCCTCTTAGTAAGCACTCTAAACTGTTATTATGGGGAAAAAAATGCAAATGGAAAATACGTTGATAGATTTCTGAAAAAGGTAAATGGAATTATGCCATGGCTATTTTAGTCCAATGTTTATATGTGGCACTCTTCTGGGTTTTATAACGATGGGCAAGATCTAAGTGCTTAAAACAGAATATTACTCAAATTTTAAAATTGTATTCCTATAACACATACATAAAATTTTCACTAGCTTTGTCTTCCTCCTCCTCTTTTCCCTCCCTCTCCTCCTTTTCCTCCTTCTTCTTTTTAAAATTAGATCCAGAAAAACAAAGATGATATTACAGATTTAAAAAGGAGCGCAGTTGGTCTGCCGCAAAATATTTCTAGTCAAATCCATCAGCTTAATTCCAAGGTAAGTCTGACATCCACACCTTTAGAGCAAATGGGTTCTCCTTCACTCAGCTCCATAAGTAAGCATTTTGTAAGGGGATATAGCAACTGTGTGCCCGCCGTAGAAACTGAGCACTGCAATTATGGACTGTTTTGGTTAAGTGACACAGCTCTGATAGAAGAGGTGATGGGCAAAAGGTTGGACATGCTAGACTTGGTGCCTAAGTTGGCTTGCTCATGTTCCGATAATGACCTTCCTGTTGGTGAAGTGGACGGATCCCTGGGAATTTATAAAAATTCCCAAAGTCACTGTTGCAGAGACGCAGTGAATCAACTTGGCAGTGGGTTGTACTTCTTTTTAAAAATACCTTAAAAAACCTACATGATGAAAGAGAGTAGGAAGAAAGGGAAGCGTGGAGGGGAGAGGAATAAGGAAGGGGATGGCAATAAGGGAAGGAACAAAGACTAGATTGAGTCCCCAGGAGAGAGCGTTAGAAAAGCGTGTCAAGGGGGCGACATCATATATAAAATGCCTTTGAACCAGCTAACTTTTTATGCTTTTTCCTCCCCACATCTAGTTTGTGGATCTTGAGAGAAAGCTTCAAAGCATACAGCAGGTAAGCCCCATAACTACTAGATATGAAGCGTCTTTCACTAAAAATATACTAGAATCACTGGTGGAGCTGGTATTCTCATCTCACTATCAAGGACTTCGATTTTTTTCCCCTTATCATTCAGTTCTCATCATAGTTCATGCTTCCCAGGATGCAAATGAAGAACGAGTCTCAGAAAGGTAAAGTGACCAGCCCAGGGTCACTGGGCATGTGAGTCACGTGGGCATGTGAGGCCTCTGACTCTGAGTTCAGCAGTCCTCGTGCTCTTCCCCTTATGCTGTCATCCTTTAATGGAGTCATGGTGGCTTAAGCATGCTGTACCTGGTCAGCTAGTAACCACCCAACTTCTGATCCTGGTATCGGGACTGCGTTTGAAAGGCCTTGCATCCTCTCTAACATTAAACTCGGAAGTGTGGGGGTATATCACAAAATATTTCAAATTTCCTTAAAAGCACAGTTGCTGGCATTTAGATTTGAACAGTTTGTTAGAGCGTACCTTCTATAATTTTATGATGTGCTTATAAACTAGTCCTAGTAATTTTAGACTTCTTACCCTTTTGTTAGGTAGCTGGAATTTTCAGGACTTTCATGGATACCATAACCTCCACCCAGAGAAATGCACAGAATGTCCTTATATCTAAATTTTAATAAAAACCAGGGGATTCCAGGTTAAAGATCTCTGCCCTAATGTTCTTGATCTGTTTTGATTAGGTTTTAAGTGTTGTCGTCTACTTTCAGTGTTTTAAATTTGGCAAACAAGTGCACATAATTCTTTTTCCCCTGATTTTGATAATAGCCTTGACTTTTTAGGAGATTAGTTGAGTTAATGAAAATGAGTAAGGAATCACACCTGGGGAGCAAGACACAGCACTCGAGTTTTCAGTCTCCTAGAGAGCTTCATTATTCCCTACAGGGCAAGACCTGGAGGCTATGATCAAAATAAGCTCAGATCACCTCTCTCTTGCCATCCCCCAGGAAGAGTTTTTAGTGATGTTTGAGTGTAAGTGCCTTTATGCTTTAGGATAAGGCAAGTGTTCTCTGGGCATCCCAGTCTCCACCGTTCCCTGTTGCCTGCTCCTGACTGCTTCCTGATTCCTGTTTTGCCCCCACCCCCATCCCCACCCCTGTAGGCTTTTCTGTTTTTAATCCCCATACAGAGTTGCTTTTGTACACCAGAAATACTTTTAATGAGGTTGAAGCTCACTTTCTTAAGAGTTTCTTCTGATGAACAGGGCTAATTGTGGTACTGGCACAAAGATAGACAAATAGAATAATGGAAGAAAACAGAGTCCAGAAAGAGACCTTCATGTGTATGGTCACCTGACTTAGGACAAAAGTGGAGAGAGAATGGGCTTTGCAATAAATGGTGCTGAGACAGTCGGCTATCCTCTGGCTCTCGGTTTCATCCATACAATGAAAGGAACAGACCTGATTTTCTTTGTGAGTTGCTGAAAGTAAAAAAAAAAAAAAAAAAGGTGGAGTGAATAATTTGCTCCTATTTTAATTTTTAAAACAGAGAATTAAACTATGATTATGTGAGATTAATAGAATAGCTATCCTTGCCTAATCACTTGTCCTCTCTAAAGAAGTTTTCTCTGCCCCCAAAGGCATTACAAATTTTACAAGATTGGAACTGGTATCTGACATAGGGTGGGACTCCCCAGGTTGTATAGACAAAGGCAAGTCTGTTTGTGACTCTGGTCTGAAAGTAGTCATGTGAACAAGGGAATGGATGGTGTATCTGAACCGGTCACATTTCAAACAAAGGGATCTGGATGAAAAGAGTTCAGTCATCTTAACCCATGGAGGAGGGGTGACAGCAAAAGATGATCAGATTTCAAATGCTTATCTGGAGGTACCAAAGATAAGAATAACAGCAAAAGAACTGGAAATTCCATTTTATTTTCTTAGTACAATAGGAATGTCCATTATTCCCACACCTGAAATCTTTACTCTTGTCCACCAACGCATATTTCTCTGGTGAACAATGCTTTCCCAAAGAATCGAGTGAGAATTGTCTCCCCTCATGCTTCATCCCATCCATGGTTAAAGACATGTAAATAGTGAAGGAATATGAATAGGACTGATCATATGAAACACTTTTTATGTTTTCATGAGAGTTGACTTGAATAAGAATTTAAGTAATTGATTTAAAATCTGGAGGAAGGCCCTTAGTTGACTAGGAGTAAAATGTAGTTTTTCATACACACCTGCACTGAACACACTTTTTTTTTTAATTATAGTTGATTGGGGAGATAATTGTTAGTAAAGTGACATAGGTTTCAGGTATACAATTCTGTAATACAGCATCTATATATCACATTGTGTGTTCACCACCCAGAGTCAGTTCTCCTTCCATCACCATATATTTCATCCCTTTTACCCTCATTTACCACCCCCTCCATCATTGCTGCCTACCCCAGTCCAATTGTCTTGCTGAGCGTCCTGTCTTTGTTTCAGACAGTGGACAGAAAGGTTTGCAGCAGCAACCCCTGCCAAAACGGCGGAACCTGTCTCAATCTTCATGACTCTTTCTTCTGTATCTGTCCCTCACAGTGGAAGGTGAGTCACTTGGTCTTTGGTTTAAAATGATGGTGAGTCAGCATCTGTGGTTTCCTTGGCATCATTCAGACATATTTAATTTTCCATCCCAAGTTTCTAGGATTCTGTGGTCTCCCAAATCAGAATGAATTATACCATGGATGCCAAAATGCAAACAATGGCAAGCATAATTACATAGCCCACTAAATGCTAAGCCATCGTAAGGGGGGGTTCACTTCATTGGATAACTGCGTGGAAAAGTATGATATTTCTGCTAGCATTGATTTAAATTGTCCAGTATTGAAAGTCCTAAACGAATCTTGACATAGCCATATATATACATTTTCTTGCTCTTTTCTATTAATGGTGAAAATGTTCCTGACATGTGCATTAAAAAAACAATTGGTGAGTATTCTCAGGCACAGCGCCATGGTGAAATGAGAATTATAAGGATTCTCCTTGTGTGACTGGTGTTTTCTTAGGAAGAGCTCTTGGGCTAAAATCTGAGTTCCAGATGAGGAGAACGACATTAATGTTAGTGTTAGTATTACTGCATTGAGCTTAACTGAGGATGTCTTTACTGCCTGTGTGTAAACCCTTAAACATCTCACAGGAACAGTGGCCCCTGAGGCCTCTGTGACTGGTGGCACCTGACTTTGTTCTTTCTATGAACACAGGGTCCTCTATGCTCGGTTGATGTTAATGAGTGTGAGATTTACTCAGGAACACCCTTCGGCTGCCAGAATGGAGCCACGTGTATAAATACAGCAGGAAGTTACAGGTAACTTTTCCTTGTTTTTTTTTTTTTTTAAACAACAAGCATTTACTTCTCATACTCATGGGTCTGTGGATTGGCCATGGTAGCTCTGCCTCCACTTAGGTTTGGTGTGCATGTCTCATTCCTGGGCTGGGGCTGGAAGAACAAGCAGCGACCTGAGGAAGGTCCTTCTCATGGCCAAGGTCAAACGCTCCCAGAGCACTGAGCAGAAACATGTAAAATCTTAAAGCTTTGGCTCAAAGCTGACTGCCTTTTGCCTATTAGAAAAATATATACATTAGGGTGTGTTTTAGAAGGACTGAAACATCCCATCGTTAAGAGCATCCAAGATGAACCATCTGTGTTAGCAGCAAAATGAGGTACTCCATGGGGTGGTAAGTGGCTCTTATTTGAAGTACACGTAGCTATTTGCTCAGATGAAGAAAAGCTTGGGCATCCTCCTCTCTCACCCATGAAAAGTCCTTTCTCTCAAGGCCCTGAGGAGCTGGAAGAAGGTCAGTGTGATTGGCATGGACAGTAAGGGTGGCGAGGTGCAAGATACGGCTGCAGGGTTAGTAAGAGTCAGACCACTGAAGGGACAGCTGTGGAAGAGCTTTAAATAGAATAGAGTGTGGACAAGAAAAAGGGGTTCTATGGAAAGTGACCTCACAGGGTGATCTGATCATAAATGCCTAACTGGGCAGGTCATGGTGGGTTGTCACGCCCCAGGTCTATAACTTCTTTAGTAAAAGGCTTATCTTTGCCTTAAGCAAGCCCTGTCCATTGTTTCTGCGCATCTAGGTTAGCGCACCTTTGAAATGCCCCTTTGAGGCCTCTCCTTCTAAAGCGTGACACCACCCTCAAGAGAGCACATGATCTCAACCAGCCTGACATCCCCATCCCGACCTTGCATTCTCCCACCCTCATGTAATGTTCTTGACCTTGCCCCCATCATCTCAAATGCACAAAAGAAACTGCAAATTGCTATTCTTGGGAGCATTTTTTCTCAGTCTGTTGAGATCTTGCTTTCAGGCATTATCTCTGTTTGGCTCAAATAAATTATTATAAAAATTATCTGCAGGTATGGACATTCTTACGTTGACAAAGGTTACCCCACCATAGTAGTAAGCCTCTGCTGTACTCATTCAGTAGATGAGTGAGCTAATAGGCTTAGTAAGGATATCTTCATTCAAGAGCTATGTAAAATGTCTGCCATAACAAGATCAGAGATTAGACTGATATTTTTATCAAATAGTTAACTTTCACCGCCTTTCTTTAATTAGATACATGGCCCCTTGCAACAATCATCACACAGCTCCTATCTTCTCTTGCAATGAACTCTGTCATATGGTTTGTCTACAGCACATTCTCCTGCTCAGCTCAGGCACCCGCCTCTCCAGGAAAACCCTTCCCTTACTACGCAGAGTTAGGCATCACAACACCTCCATGTTCCTGGCAAACTCTAGCGGTATTGGTCATTAAAGCTAGACTGGCAGACACATTATCTTTTTAAATAATCAAGTCCAAAGATTTATGGCAGATCAACATCAAACTTACTTTTGTATTGTTTCTTTAAATCACTTCCTAAAAATCTCTAGACATTATTTGGTTGATCTCTTGTACTCTGTGATTAAAAGATAAAGAAATTAATTTTATTATGGCATGAACAGTCCTTCATTACTCTGGGGGGTAATCTCTTTGATGTGAAGAGCAATTATTTGCTCTCTTACTAGTCTCTCTGCTATCTTGTTCATAAATTCCTTTTAAAAAATATTCATTCTGTTCTTTCCAACAAAAATAAGTGCAGTAATTTTGGTTTTTTTTCGTTGTCATCTGTTAACACACTATTTTCTCAAAAAGCAGTCACAGTCCTCTTTTCCATTTAATTGATTCTTTTGTTCTTTTGAGCTGATCTTAAAATTTTCTTGCTCGTTCTAAGTTGTGAGCTTAACCCATTGAAACTTCTGGTAGATATATCTATGAGTTCATCATTGTGTACAACCAAAATTCACCACCTCTAACTTAAGTATAATGCTATTAGAGAGCCTTTTGCTTTTAGAACTGTTGCTCATTTACATGAACCCCCATCCCTGCTTTTATAAACATTCAAGCTTGGGCTGGATCCAGAATACAGGTCTAATCTTCCACTCTCTTGAAAGCATTATCTCCTGACTCCTGTTTATGGGCATTTATCAAGGAGAATTACTGCTGGGGGATATCAGTGGCAAATGTCTGGACTCCTAGCAATAACACTTGACTGCCTTTCTGACATCCAGGAATGTCCAGCAAATTAGGCCTCACTCTGATGTTCCTTTTATCATCCCTGTCTTCTGGGGCCTTACAAGCTAAAAATGGTCAAGTGGGATGAGATCCATAGGCCAAGGAAAAGTTGTTTTTCCTGCAGCACATGATATCCCTCCCTCCCCCGCAAATAGAAAAAAACCCCAAAACTTTAACACAACTATTTGCTGTATGTCAGGGGTGAGAGCTCTTTGTCCAGATACAAATTGGGTGGGGGAGGGGAGGGCAGAGAATATTTTTTCTTTTGAGAGCTTCCTAAACAGTTTCAATTTTAAAGAGCAGTGCTGAAAATGCTGAATTCTCTCTTGTATTCACCTATAAAGGAAAGCCTGAAGATTCATAATGCTGACTCTGGACGTGGTTTTGGCTTCTAATCTCTACCCTTTATAGATCTGCTGCATGGAGGGTATTAAAGAGAAGGACATTTAACTCTAGTTTCTTCCTCTTGATAGTTTATGAAGCTTCATGCATTCCACTTGATTATCTACAATGTAAACACTAATTCAGGCATGTGATAGAGACTTTTGAAGGAATCAAAGTACATAGAAAAGTGTGCATATGTCTAAGATTAAATTCTTGCTTTGTGGAGTCTGTGTATAATGAAACAGTGATCACTTTGATGCTTTCTTGAGCTCTGTTAATTATGTGAGGTTAAATCCTTGTTAATCAGTAGCTTCTCCCAGGCTAGTAACCCCTTCAGGAAACTTCAGCAGACATTTGCTAACGGTAAACGTGACCTGCTGTTGAATAATCTGAAGCTGTGGAAATGGGGTCATGGTGGGCAGAGTTTTCTCTGGGTTTGGGGCCTCCTTTTGGGGTGTCTAACCCTGGGGGTTCATTACCTTGGGGGGACAAAGGCATCTTTATTTAAAGGGATTCATAATTTCTACTTATAGAGACCTTTGAAAAGATAAGGCACTGTGCAAATGCTAATTAATTGGAAGCCCTATTTTTAAAAAATTCTGGTTAAAATTATTTTTTAGAGGAAGGAAAGTAGAGCAAGGAAAACTATTGTCTGCACCTAGGAGGTCTTGCCCTTAATTGCTTCAGAGAGCTAACCACTAATATTTTGCCACATCCCACTGCTGTTTTGGCCTCTTTGTTCTGAAGAATTGATTCTTATTGTTCTCCTGCTTACTTAAGGCAGCCCTTGGTGGTCCAAATCTGCCATGCATGGATGGTGTGTATGTTACATACTTCCAGCTCAGATCAAGAAAGTTTTCTAGAAAAAAAAAATTGAGTTTGTTGTCTGTTTTTTTCCTTCAGGAACACAGTGAGGGTTAGCATGTTTTATTTTATCTCCATTCTTATCACTGGTGGATTTTAGAACATGGAGAGCTTAAAGGATGAGGATGATCTGGTTTTGGCTCAGAGGGTAGTTAGGTATTAAACTTATTACCTCTTTCAGTTAGTCAGTATATTAATATTGAACTATGGACTCTACAGCAAGTTAAACTATGACTAAGAAAGTGTATTTGACCTCTTTTCAATTGACAAGCGCACTTGCACTGTTTCTGAAGACTGAAAAGCCCACTTTTGTTCTACTGGAACCCCATCAGCAGTAGATTCACAAAAGTGACTTCAGCAGGGAGGTATATAATGCATTTTCTTTAAGGGCATATCTAGATACTTTGAGAATACATTTTACACACGAACACGGTGATGTTTAAAGGACACATAAAAAGGGAAAGTCTTCATCTAGCTTTACTTTTCTCAACGTGGGAATGTGATGTGGAGAAACTGGCGCAGGAGTAATGTAACGTACGTTTTAACTCACCTTCTGCAAACTGCCAATTCTGTGGCCTTGGCCTGCGTGAATCTTGCCAGTAAAATGGGATGAATAGTAGATGTCTTTGAGGATCATTGAAAAGGCAGCAGATCGTGTACTTGGCTTCTTCTTCCTCTCCACCTTCTTTCTTCTGGTCAATATGATCTAAACTTAAATGAAAGCCGTATACTTTGTAGCTGTTTAGAGAAGAATGTAGGATGACAATTTGCTCATCTCTGAGTGAGAATAGCAAGGGAGAAGGAAGCGAGAGAGCAAGTGAGAAGATTAACTGCAGCTCCTGGCTCTGTGACCCAGGATCTCCTCTCAAATCTTAAGTCCTTTTCCACTAGTAAAGCACTTAGCGATAAGAGAAACACAGTTTCCTGAGCATTTCCTACAGGAAAATGCCTTTAGATGCCAAGAGGAAAAGAGTGCTTATAGATTGGCACTGTTATTTTACAAGAAACAAAAACAGAGGGAGTTATTACACTGTCTCAGATGATCAGTTAATAAGGTTGGGATTTAAACCTGGGCAGTCTTGTCCCATGAGGTTCAGAATGCTCAGATCTCTCATACATGATAGACTCAGAAAGCTAGTAATAGTTGGTTTAAAGACTTTTTTTTAATTGGCATTGGAGGTGGTGGTAAAATAGATTTCGAGCAAGGGAGCCACCTAGATCAAATGCTCAAATATGCATACGAAATAGTCTATAAAGTTCTATAGTCTCCAAGAGTCTAAACAAATTCTCCAAAAGAACAGTCTTTGTAAGGATGGGAGAGTGCAGAGGAAAAGGAAGAGAATCTGAAAGGGAGACTATGGAAAGAGAAAGAGGAAGATAAATCGCTTTTGATAGGGAATGAATAACTGGATTTCTTTTTAAGTTTCATCATCTATTGCTGCTATTAATCGACGACCTTATCTTAATGAGAAAGGCAACCTTGGAATGCTCAGAAATGTGGTTTCTTAATGGAACAGCCTTTACACAAGTATGTATTGGTGTTGCAGATTGCATGGGACATATGTGTACCAAAAAAGTATTCACTTATATGAAATTCAATTGTAAGTGGGCATCCTATATCTTTATTAGCTAGATCTGGCAACCCTCCATCATGTGAGCACCTAAATGGTACTCACCATATTCCTACTGTCCGTCTCCAGCCACATTTACTGATCTCCTCTTCACAGAACCCACTCAAAGGTGCCACCCCAGCAATTGTTTCTGGGATCCTCCATGGGCACACCAAGTTGTGTGCCCAGAGTGTGGCTGTTGATGCTTCTCAAACATTGAAATTCTCACTTCTCACACTGTCAATCACATGTTTGTTTCCATCCATGGAGATTAGCTGAGCTCCTTTTGCCTCAATGTGTGTTGTGAAAAGAGCTTCTTTACCTTGCAGAATGGCTTCTTTTCCACAACACTCAGCCACAAGTTCATGGTTCAGTCCCCGTTCCTTGTCTCTGACCCTGAGCCCTCATGGTCAGTTTCCTCCATGAGGTCCAGCGCTGTGCAAGTCAGGCAAACAGTGACCTCTTGGCCTGGCTTTCCAGTCCATCAGCTAGGCTCTGATACGCGTACATAAGATTGGCCTCTGTGACTCCTCGACCCTCCCCCTTCCCCCCAAGGGCAATTCTCGTACCTTCCACATTCCCTTTGAAGATGCAGTGCACATATAAAGCTAACTCAGCAATTTTAAGAATTATATAAAGCTTAAAGAAAGTTTAAGACAACTTTGCTTATTTGATTATTGTTGAACTGAAATGTTCTTGTAACAAAGCACCTACCGCTAACTTAGGTATTACGTAATAATTACATTTTGTGAGTTAAATGTAGCTACAAATGGAGTGTTACGACGTTAACTACATCTCTTACAGATAGGCGTATTGCCCTTCATAATATAATAATTATCATAGATATGGATATCACATTGCTTGTTGGGTTATACAATCCTAGCGAACAATCAGGAATTGATGAGTTCAGTTAAGGTCACCTGTGCTAACCTGCGGGTCCAGGTGGACAGACAGTGAATGCCCTCATTGATCTCTCCCTTGACCGTCTTGAATGAACTCTTAGTTTATAGATGTCTGACCTTTGAAAGCGCTGTTTGATGGCATGATACCAGAAGAATTTATAGTAGCAGTCTTGCCCAGATGGTAGGTCGTGCCCCTCCCGCGCCATCTTTGAGAAGATAACACATTTACTGAATCCACTTTCTTGAATCAGTACAGAGTGATTTTCTTCCAAGACTTCAGTCAGGAAATCTGGTTTGCTGGTTTATGATTCCACTTGAACATCATTGAACTGCAGCTGGAATTATTATTATTATTTTTTAATGGATGCTAAGAAACAGGTGCTCGCCCTGACACAAGCCCTGACATTGTGCTTCTGTGTCACCAACAGCTGTCACTGCTCGCCTGAGACACACGGCCCCCAGTGTGCATCCAAATACAATGACTGTGAAAGAGGTTCCAAGGCGCTGTGTGTGCACGGCATCTGTGAGGACCTGGTCCGCGTGCAGGCAGGACAGGTGGGTCCTTTGCAGAAGTGACTCCTGGGAGGGGGTCAGGGTTGTTAGTATCTCATCCTGTGTGACCTCACACAAGCATGGCCCCATGAGGCTTCAGAGACAGAGTCACCGCCTGCCCTTAAGTAGGGCACAGTAGAGGAAGGAGATGAACGTTGTCCGTAAATAAGCAGAAACCTGGACCCAGAAGTTAAGACATCATTAGGTAAACTACTAACGTTTTTCTTACGCCGTCATGAGTCTCTCTGTGAGCCATGGCCTTCTCTTGGCCATGTGAGTTTTAAAAGTGACATGACATGGAAACACAAAAAGCCCGCTCTTGTCAGCAACACGCAGTTTTAAGGCATCTGGAGCTTTGTTCTGGCCCCTGAGCCCCCACTGCTGCAGACTCTGTGAGCCCATGAGTCAGTCCCCTGGTGCTGTGGGTCCTGACGACCTTGCCCCCTGAGCCTCCAGGTCGTCTAGCCACTGCCGCTTGGCCTTGCATGAGACATTCAGGTCATTATTCTTAGTTCTATTTTTTTCTACCCCCGTGATGGAAAATGGTCCCCTTCCAATGAGAGTGGTGGTGGTGGTGGGGTGTGTGTGTGTGTGTGTGTGGGGGGGGTTTGTGGGTGGGAGGGGAAAGAGAGGCTTTCAGAAAGGAAACAAACAGAATTGATTTTCCAAGGCCTCTGCCTGCAGGGGTGTTTTTCCCTCTAAAAACACAGCAGGCTGCGTTGACTTACTTTAATTATATTGACTTACAGTTCTTGATTGTTGTTGCTTTTTCCCTGGCATCTTTGGGGCAAATTATAGGTTTCCCTTACTTTGAAATAAAGCTGTTTCGCTTTTTGCGTGGTCTAGTATAAATGCTTACTCATATGGGAGGAAAAAGAGAAGCTGCTCCACTGGCCTTAGGAAATGAACGTTAGAGGGTAAACAGCTGAGGGCTCGGTGAGATTTTCTAAGGCTTTTCTTGCTCATGTCCTTTATTATCTTGATTCACACTCTTGCCACCCTTGCCAGCCCAAGTACAGCTGCATCTGCGATGCTGGGTGGACGTCCCCGAACGACAGCTCGCCTTGCACGCTGGACAGAGACGAGTGCAGCCTCCAGCCGGGGCCTTGCTCTGCACTTGCGCAGTGTTTCAACACTCCAGGCTCTTTCTATTGTGGGGCCTGCCCCACAGGTACGTGGCCACGCCCACACCCCACCAGGGGCGCCGTGCTAGGCTCTGCCTGCCAGTCAGGCAAGGTGCCAGAACCCCCTTCTTTCCACTGCTGAAGGATAAGGAGACCGTCCTTAGGAGGTGTTCCGATCCAGTTTCATGTCCGATCTCACCACCCCCCACTCCTGACCATCATACTGCTACAACAAGTCGACCACAGAAATGGGAGTTTTGTCCCCAAACTGTGCTAGAGTCAAACCCTGGGGGCAGGGTTAGCCATAGTTTGTGAGGATAGACGTTTTATTTTATTTCTATGACCATCAACTGACTAGACTTGAGATCAAAACACACATGCTCTAGTCCCACCTTTCATGCCAGCCAGATGTTTGTGAACTTGGGCAAATTATTTGCCTCTTAGTGCCTCTACTGGAGTCCAGTAGTTCTCACTTGGGTGTGTCATTAGAAGACCCTGTGGCTTTGCTGTAAGTAGGGATGTTCCACTGTATCACAGACATACACAGAGCAAATCTCCAGGGAAGGTCACATGTTGAGCTGTTGAAAATATGGGCTCTGGACTCAGAGACTGCCTGCGTTTGAGTCCAAACTTTGTCTCTTACTAAGTATATGAGATCATTATCATCCACACAACGCATATCTGTAGAGCATCTACTATGAGCAAAACAGTGTGCTGGGTGCCATGGTAAGAACCAAGCAGACCTCAAAGAGTTTATAGGTCCCATCTGTGCACCCTGGGTGCTTTTAGGAAGTGGGGTACAGACAGAATATAATAGTAGCAGCTGTTCTATATGGAAACATCATTAAGGCATCATGCTAGGCAATTTTTAATTCTTGCAACTACAAAAAAAACAAAACAAAAACAAAAACGCAAGAAATGGTAGGAATTAGTATTATTCCCATTTTAAAATATAAGACCTTGAAGAAGGTAAATAACTTGCCCAAGATCACGTAGGTTATGAACAGCCAGGATCCGTACCCATGTTTGCCTGATTGTGGATCTGAGCTGAGCTGCAAGAGACTTTTATTCTGAATCACCAAGGAACACCCCCCCTGCCCCCTCCCCCCCCACACACATGCCTATTGCTTCATTGAGTGACTTTCCGTCTAGTGAATTCTTTACGTTATATGTTTAGCTCTTGCACAACTAGAAAGAAATTGAAAAAACACGTAAAGACGTTTTCCCTCTTAGTTCTCAGGGGCAAGCAAACTTTGCAAATAATCTCATTCTTGAAAGTAATTTGTCAGTCAGTGAAAATCTTTAAAAACTAAAAATTAGCAAAATAAATTATTTAGATTATAGGATGGATAACGTGTTCTTACATTCTTTTCATTGTTGGAGAGAAACAAATGCTTTTTGTTTTGCTGTTAATCATCTTTTTTTTCCTGAATACCAAAGGAATGTATGCTATTTATAAAATTTAAGGAAACTACAAAAATATGGGGGAAAATACCCATGGTTTTATGACTAAGGGGATCACAATTAACATTTGGGAATATTTCTTTTCAGCTTTTTTCTATATACTCATTTCTTCACCCACAAATGTGATAATTTTCTTCAGTTATATTTTTAGAAGGGCACTCTACTTACATCAAAGAAAATAAGTATCTTAAAGGATTTACAAGGTTTTAAATATTCTTATTATTTTTATCATTTGAATTATGAGTAATAAAACTCATAGCAATTGGATAAAACAGAAACGTTAAAATTAAAACGGTATTCCCTGTCTTTACCTTCAACGTCCTGCTAATGAGGCCACTGTAGCAATTTGTTCTCTCTTCTGCATTTCCTCTGCTGCTACAAACACAGCATATATACAGGGTTTTAAAAAACTCTTTCCCCAAATTGGGATCATACTCTGCATATTATTCTAAAATTTGGTCTTTTCACTTATTTTTCTTTCAATATGTGTTTGCATGTTATTAAAACTAGTTCTTAATATTCAGTGGTATAGATGAGTTATAATATATTTAGCTCTGTCCCTACTGACTTTAGAGACTTTTTTCCCCCACTAAATGATGTTGCAATAGACATCTGCTTACCTACGTCTTTATACACTGGCAGTTTTAACACTGTAGAATAAGTTTTAAGAAGTGGAATTGTTAGTCAAAAGCTTTGTATTTTAAGACATTTAACGAACACTGCTAAATCTCTTTCCTAATAGATTTTATTTATTTAGCTTCTGAGTCACAGCCTGTAAAAGTGCACCATTTGTCCACCTCTTTGCCAGAATTTGATTCTAAGAGTTTAAAACAATTTTTGCCAACCTGTTAGGTAGAGTATATCTCATTTTAATCTATAGTTACTTATAGTTAAGCAGGTTTTTATATGTTTTTGACTGCTTGCATTTCTTCTTTGTTGACTTGTCTATAGAGCTAACTTTTCAATTCTTATATTTCTAGGCTGGCAAGGAAATGGATACGAATGCCAAGATATCAATGAATGTGAGATGAATAATGGCGGTTGTTCTGTGGCTCCACCTGTTGAGTGTGTGAATACACCTGGGTCTTACCACTGCCAGCCCTGTCCACCAGGTGTGGCACCACATTTCCTGATTCCATTACAGGCAAAACCCACATTTGAAAGCAGGAGCTTGTGCTCCATTTTAAATATGACTTCTGTCTAAAGAGATACATTTAACAGGGCAGAAAGTTTTGCTGAACTTGTGGATTTGGGCATATTCGTACAGCTGTATTATAAGAAAGAACATTTTCAAAAATTTGAGTATCAATGAAAAACAACAGGCCTTTACAAACTGTGAAATAGCCTGCTGAGATAACGCAGAATTTGAAAAATTTTCCCTGTGGATCGCAGAACTACAGCTCCACTGTTCCCACAAATAATTTATTAATATAATGCACTCATGAGAGGTCTCACATACAAAGTTTACCAAATAACAAGCATTATAGTAGGCCTACAATACATGTTAGTTTTCCTTCTCTTCTGGAAAAAAGTCATTACTGTTCTTCTCTAATCTATACTGAGTTACTACCCAAGAAGTTCAGGGAGTTCTAAGTAATAAACTAAAACCCTATGTGTTTTATTAACACAAAACACCAGTACTTTGGACTTCTACAATAATGTAACTCTAAGATCATCAAGTCACTGTCATTAAAAAGCGTTAACTTTTTTAGTGTCAGCACTTTCTCACACTAGTTTCCTGTATCTTTTTATTTTCATTTTTTAATTTGATCATTAGAAACAAGCCTGAACATTGTTTCTGAAACCAGATTCTTAGTTTTTGTTGTCCTTTTTTCTTAATTGAGGAATTTGGTTTATGACACTTTATATATTTACATTTTCTGTTTGATGATAGAAGATCCCTGGTTGGTCTGGTTCATGATACTTGGTTCTCAGATTGGGGTTTGTCTTGTATATTCTTAATGTTATTTGTCATGCCCCTGCTCTTGCTGTGATCAGGGTACCAGGGTGATGGAAGAGTATGCACACTTATAGACATCTGCTCGGTCAATAACGGGGGCTGCCACCCACACGCGTCATGCTCCTCAGTTCCAGGTAAGGATTTATCTCTCCCTCTGGTTCTGGGTGTTTTAATATGACCTCCTAAAACAAATTAATTTTTTAAAACAAAATCCTCTATCCTCAAAATTCTTATTTTGATCCTCAAACCAAAAATTAATCCATGTTATAAAACCGTACATTGGGATTCAGCCGGTCGTTCGAGTGCACGGACTCTCCATCCTAGAACCATGGCCCAGTTTGTCCGTAACCTCGCAGAGAAGGCCCCGGCGCTGGTAAACGCTGCTGTGACTTAATCGAAGCCTCCATTGGCCACATTTTGGCACTATGCCAAGGTTGAGCTGGTTCCTCCAACCCCTGCTGAGATCTCTATAGCTATTCAGAGCATGATAAAAATAGTCAGTAGTGCTCAAACTGGTAGCTTCAAACAGCTCACAGTTAAGGAAGCTCTGCTGAATGGTTTGGTGGCCACTGAGGTGTGGATGTGGTTTTATGTTGGCGAGATCAGAGGCAAGCGTGGCATCATTGGCTATCATGTTTGAAGACCAATCATTAACATCTGTATCTTTTGGGTTTATTATTTGAATGTTCTTGGGCCATGTGTGATCAGACTGGTATTTGAATAAAATATGTCAAAAATCAATATTTTCTATATCAAACACTGCATTTTCTCTTGACATTAAATTGGATTTTCTTTTACTTTAGTGATGTTAATATAGCTCTAAATGCATTTCTTTGCTTAGCCTAAAATTGGAAAGGATATATGTGTATACACCAACCTGTTACAATATTTATGAGGGTAACATTTTAATTTGAAGGTTGGAAATAATGTTTACTTCCAGAAAAGTTGGGGGAAAGGCCTTGAGAAAACTAGAACTTCCTACAGTAGGAGAATAGTAATACCAGGTACCAAAGTTAAATCAAAGTTAAATTAGCTAGCTAATTAATTCATAACTGTATTCCAGGAAGCATGAAGAAGAAAAGGAGGGAGGACATGTCCGCTTCCTTTAAGGACACTTTTATTTCTATACCATTGGCCAGGACTGAGCCTGCGGACTAACCCTGACTGCAGGGGAGGCTGGGAAATGTACCCCTTATGGGAACATTTATGGGGGTATGGGAAATGCACATACCCCCAATTAAAATAAGGAGTAAAAAAGGGGAAAACGGAACAAGGGTGCTCACCAACAGTAACACTGCGTAAAAGAAGCTTTACTGCCTATTAATTTTAAAAATTATATTGCTAAATTTTCTCTCAGAATGTATCAGTTTATGTACTCACCAATAGTGTATGAAAATACACATTTACCCCACTCTTGACAATAATGGATACTATTGTTGTTTTTCATTTTAGTCAATTTCATTGTCAAAAATTGCCTTCCCATTATTTTAATTTTGACTAAATCAAAATTAAGCGGGTTTTTTTGTAAAGTTATTTTTTTTAAAATTAAGTTTATTGGGGTTACAGTGGTTGGTAAAGTTACATAGGTTTCAGCTGTACAATTCTGTAATACATCATCTGTAGATCACATTGTGTGTTCACCACCCAGAGTCAATTCTCACTAATAATTAATACTTCTCACATATTTACTGGTCATTTTTTTTCTATTTATTCATTTCTTTTGTTCATCTGCTTTCTTACTGATTTGTAAAATTGTATTATGTGCTGAGGACATTATTTCATTATCTGTCTTATATTTTACACATATTTTTCCTGACGTGTTGTTTTCATTTTTACTTTTGTGGTGATATTTTCTATTTAGAAGTTTAAAACTTATGTAGTCAAAAAGGTAAGTCTTTTCTTTTAGGATTTCTCCCCTTAGAATTAGGCCTTTCCCACCAAATTCTTTAAAAATAGTCATGTACATGTTCTTTTATACTTTCATTGATTTTAAACATCACAGTCTTTCATCTTTTTAGGATTTATTTTTATCTATAGCATCAAACAGAGATTTAGCTTGATACTTTTGTCCAAATGGATGGCTGGCCCCAAGCCCATTTATTGAGTAATGTATCATACCTCTTGCAATTTCAAAATACCATTTTTATTTTTACTAACATGTCATAGATATGCACATATATAAAAGAAGATACATGTGGATCTATAGATGTATTTAAAACCTATCATGTATATCTATATATACTTCTGACTATTTAAATGTTTATTAAATGATTAACAGCATAGCGAAGTAGTTAGGAGCATAGATTCTAGAAAAAGACTTCTTGGATTGTGGTTTCCCTTGGCTCCACCATATTCTTGCTGTGGTTTGTCTTCATCTGTAAATGGGGATGATAATAGTACCTCCGTATAGGCCTCTTGAGAGGATCATGTTAGTCAGTCTATGTGCAGTGTTTGCAATAGACGCCATCATCATAAGAATACTCTTTGCCGCCGTCAACCCCTCCACGATGAAAACTCCCTTGGTGAACTTCACATTTGTGCACAACTCAGGACCATGACATACAGATCAGTGTCAACCCATATGGAAAGCATTGGAGACACGTAATACCTTTCCTATTTTTAAGATGAAAATAGAAAAATAAAGATTCTTGTATTTTCTCCTTAACCCCTTGTCTCGCCTGCCCCTAGGAATATGTGGACTTGACTTTGGCAATTTCTCTTCTAGACAGCAGAGCCTTAGCTTTGTGATTGGGTCTGAATCAAGGAGGCCTGCGTTTAACTTTCGATTTCATTTCTGAACAGGTTCCTTACCTTTTTGCACTTGTCTCCCGGGATATACTGGAAATGGCTATGGCCCAAATGGATGCGTGCAACTCAGCAATATTTGCCTGAGTCGCCCCTGTTTAAATGGACAATGCATTGTGAGTCCTTTATTCTTCCTGAGGAGATAGAGTACTTGAGAATAATTTTAGTTTCACATCCACGCAATACTTTTTCTGTGATTCATGAATTTTTAGGTAATTATTAAGCTTGAGATAAGGAACTGTCAATTACTTTCCGATGAAAGGTAAGCAGTAACTTTAGTTCCCAGGAAAAACCAATGAGTTATTTTTTTCTCTTAGTGGTTTACAAAATAGCAACACAAAGCCTACAGTTTGATCTAAGTACATCCAACTTATACTTAGCAATCACCCCTTAGATGAATCAATACAAGTTAGAATACAGGAAGATACTTGTGGCTCAACACCTGTTATATCACATAGCATCACTTTCCTTTATTAGTCGGGTTGATTCATGTTGATGGTCTATCCATTGTTTTATGGCCTTATGTTTTTTTCTTACCTTAGGAAACAGTCTCTGGTTATCTTTGTAAGTGTGAATCGGGTTGGGCTGGTATCAACTGCACAGAAAACATCAATGAGTGCCTGAGCAACCCCTGTTTGAATGGAGGAACTTGTGTTGATGGCATTAATGCTTTCACCTGTGAATGCACACGTTTTTGGACTGGATCTCTCTGTCAGACTCCCCAGCAAGGTATGCTCAGTATTTCTTCGACCACAGGTGCTTACAGCTGAAAAGTATCATCCTTTTAACGTGTGCTACTGCAGAGTCTTCTGCTGAGCCTACTCTCTTGTCCAATTGCTCAAATACTTAGAGCTCAGTCTTTCCTTGCAGACATTGTATAGAATCCACGAGGTAAACGTATATCCCTATTTAAGCCAGAAGCACCTTTTCCTCAAAGGAAAAATTAAATTAGCACTTGCCATTTCCATTATGTCTATTCTGAAAATAGAATGCATGAAGGTAGTTTTCTAAGGGAGAGTTTTCTCTGCAGCAGCCATTTAATTTCCCTAGAGTATGCCCCTTAATCATGTCACGCTCCTGTTCTAGAATATACAGTGGCTCCTCACTGCCTGTTGAATAAAGATTGGGATTGTTTTTCAATTATCCTTTGGGCCCAGGCCTCACCCTATCCATCTAACCTTATATTTTACTCGTTCTCTAAAAATAGTCTCCAGACATCTTCCCTTACCACCTGACCCCATGTGCCACCCTGATGTCTCTGCTGTGTTCTTCTATTTGGGATAGTTCTCCTCCCCGACATCCTATCCAAATTCCTTCATTGCTTCCCATCCAAGTGTGTCTGCCCCTCAGGAGTAGTTCACATCCAACCTCCTCCATAAAGCCCCTTCTGACTACTTCACCCCTCACTTACTGCCCCGGATTCTGAATCAGCTCGCTTACTGAGACCTTACTATATGTTCATGTCCGTGGCAGACTCTGTGGAGAAACAAGAAAGCATAAAAGGGTGTGTCCGCATATTATCTGCTTATTTTCCAGTTGAGGAGATAAGACTAACACAAAATGGCAGAGAAGAGACAAAAACTAAAGATAAGAACTAAATCGTGTGGGGTGGACTCCAGTATCACTGAGGTAGTGAGAAGGGGAGCCAGAGAAGAGGCAAAGAGGCAGTGAAGGTCCTGGCGGAGATGAGGAGGCAACCGGACTTTGAACAAGAGCTGGGATTTGGGTGGATGAAGAAGGAAAAAGGGGGCAGGGAGATGAAAGAATGGCAGGGCTTTTGTCTCCAGTGCAATTACCCAGACCTCTCTCAATATTTCAGCAGCACAGGGTTAGAGTTTCCTAGCCTCATCCTTTATGGAGTCTCGGAAAAGCACAGTTCACCCTCTTTCCCTTTGCAGTTTGTGGAGGGTCCCTCTCAGGGATGAATGGCAGCTTTAGCTACAGGAGCCCTGATGCTGGGTATGTTCATGATGTTAACTGCTTCTGGGTGATCCGAACTGAAGGAGGAAAGGTAAGTGTCGTGTTTCCGGTCCAGTGTATATTTCATTTATACGTATGAATATGTGATCTGTGTATATATTGCATCACGTACATATAGTGACAATTCGTCTGTCACATAGTGGGGACTTACTAAGTGTCAGGCTCTGGGCTAGGCATTTTACATGCTTTGCTCTCACCTTATACTACCTCTTTGAAATAAGTGAGAGCATCCTCGTTTTATAGATGAGATCATGGAAAACACAGACGCTAAGTAGTTTTCTTAAAAAACAACAACTTCTTAACTGGTAATTGAACTAGTCAGGTTTCAAAGTCAACTTTGTCTGGTTCCAAAGTCTATGCTTCGTCCATATGGATGATTCTCTGCATGGGTGGGCCAACTGCAAGCTGGTAATGTGTAAAGTCATGTTCTTACTGAGACAGTAGTGTTTAAAAATGATGACTCGATAAAGTTGATTATTATGCACCAATGGGGACTGCTATTAAGATGATGTTCTTATCAGTGTCTTCGCTGGGCTACTGCATGTGCCCATGTGCTATGCTAATTGCTCCTCATGGATTACATCATTGTATTTTAATTCTCATAGCCCTTAGAGATAAGAATTATTATTCTCATTTTACATATCAGGAAACGGAGCCTAGAGCAGTTGAGAACTTTGTCCAGGGGCATGTGGTGTGTAAGGGTCATGCAGTGACTTGAACCCAGGCCATTCAGCGCCAGTGACTGTGAACCACGGCATGAGTGACCTTCAACTTATCTGAACCGAAGGTTTTTAGTGCTTTTATCCCCAATATTAATTATTCACCTTTTCCCAATATTTATTTCTCAACCAACTCCTAGACTCACTGAAATAAAGTTGTATAGCTGAATAGGTAAGGTGTTCCTTGAAGTCCTCTTAACTTTTTCCAGCAAACTAATGTTATAGATGTCACAGTACAAGGTCAGAAAATATTTTTTTCCCTTGAGAAGGCAGGACTCTTTGGGCTCTGGTAACCCCACAATAGATAAACTTCAAAATCAATTTCCCAGTGGGTATGTTATGTTAATTTCCTTCCCTCCATTTAGTTTTTATGAATTCTATTTCCTGACATTGAAAACACTTTTTTTCAAGAAAAAATTACTTTGTGAAAAAATATTGATACTTGTATTGTCCATTTGTAATAAAATTCACTCTGTTTTTCTTGATTATTATGATTTTCTATCTTTTGATCCCCACTACAATTTACATAATATAATGGAGGTTATTTATAAATCATGATAGTTCAATTCATGAACATTTATTTGATTTGCATTGAAATTGCTTCAAGGGCAAACATGATGCAAATGTTGGGTAACAGATCTTAAAAATACCCAGGCATAGAATTTCAAAAATATCCTGATATCCTTTTTTCATTAGTTGAAGGCTGTTGTGGTTTTAGGTCATAATGAAAATTAAAGTCAACAGCCTTCTTTTGGTTGTTTGGCTGTTTTAAATGAGTCTGTGAATACAAAATTGTTTGTATATATGTGTAATTAACTATACTACTATATTTGTACATTCTAATGTTTTAACTTGGAGACACATTTTTGTGTTTATTCTCCCCTACTTATATGCTCAGAACTCTTCATATTTCCCCATAAGAGTAATTCTCTTAATTACTCATCTCTTAATGATGTGCAATCACTGAAGACTTGTACTGCACACAAGTCTACACTATGGCTGCTCAGTCTATACCTGAGGTTGTCAATCTGGGCTGGGCATCAGTATCTTGTTGAGAGGTTCAGAGGCCCCTAAGGAATCAGCCTCTTTGGGGTCAGTTATGAACCCCTGTATGTGTGCTACAGGTTGTTCAGGTGATCAAGGTATAAATTCTTGTGAAAGGCAGTATCAGTGAAATTTAACTCAAGGTAGATTTTTCAAATGTCCAATGCATTTTAATGATTTGGAAGCATCGTCAGTTATACATTTGAAGTACCTTAGTTTAATAAACTTAGCAGTTTAATGAAATCTAGGTAAATCTAGTTCATTAATCCATTGAATAACAGCTCAAGGGGTGTGAAATTTTGGTTATGCTAGATAAGTAAGTTCCAGAGATCTGCTGTATAACATTGTGCCTATAGTTAACAGTACCGTATTGTATACTTCAAAAAATTTGTTGAGGGTAGATTGTGTTCTTACCATGAGAGAGAGAATGAAAGAGAGAGAGAGAGAGAGAGAGAGAGAGAGAGAGAGAGAGAGAGAGAGAGAGAAGAAGGAAACTCTGGGAGGTATTGGATATGTCTATTATGTTGATTGTGGTGATGGTATCGCATGCATTTGCATGTGTCCAAATTCATCAAATTGTACACATTAAATATGTGCAGTTCTTTTTATCAATTATACCTCAATAAAACTGTTAAAAATCTATTTAATTAACATTAAGATTTTGGCACAATTGGTTATGCATCTGGGGGAAAATGGAATTTTACCTCACTCCAAAAAAAGGAGTTTTGATATATTTTGACATTAGTTGAAGTTAGGTCTAAGCGTTTTTAATACAAATTGTTTAATAAGTAGGATTTTCAGATGTATTTGTGGATTGTTAGAAAATTATAGATCTATCTCTTGAAAGTGACTCCCTATGAATGCTTTCTAATTAGTGGGAGAAATCCTTTAGTATTAACATAGGAATTAAAATATATTGTGGCCTTTACGTTTTTAGGTGCTGCGTATCACTTTCACGTTTCTCCAGTTAGAATCAGTGAACAATTGTCCACATGAGTTTCTTCAGATTCATGATGGCGATTCCTCTGCAGCATTTCAACTTGGAAGGTTCTGTGGCTCCAGGCCCCCTCAAGAACTCCTCAGTAGTGACAATGCTCTCTATTTTCATTTCTATTCTGAACATTTAAGAAATGAGAGAGGCTTTACAATAAGATGGGAAACACAGCAACCAGGTAAGTGTCAACATGGAGAAAAAGAAAGCAAAATCTTGAGGTTATTTAATGTCTTTGATTAATAGTAAAAGTTAGGTTACATTAGATATTTGGAGATCCAGTGTTATGATATTTTCATAACTATTTTTAAATCAAATAAATCTATAATGAATTTGTATTTGATTTTGTATTCAGAGATAATAAACTGTGAATGAAATAAAAGAGATTAAAAACAATGAGTCTTAATGGGTCCCTCAGGAAATTATTGAGCGGCGTTTTTGTAAGTTCAACTAGTAAGTTATTGTAGGGCTGTTGTTGAGGACACTGTCCACTCCTTCACTTAGTATTCCTTATCTTAATGGTTATTTGATAATTTGTTTGTTGTTATTGTTGTTTTTTGGTACTCTGTTTATCAAAAAAACTTTCTACTATGAAATTTTTAAACATACAAAAATGTAGAAAGAACAATATACCAAACCTTCAATTCATTTTTCAATAGATCTGTGGATCTACTTCTGGAATTTCTCATTTTTGCTCTTGGTCTATTTATCTGTCCCTGTGCTACATTGGTTCAATTACTGACTCTTGAAATCTAGTAGTGTAGCTTTTTTCTTTTAATATAGAGTAGGTCCTTTACATGAAATATGAATGTTAGAATCAATTTGTTAATGCCCCCCAACAATCTGCTGGGATTTTGTTGGATTGCCTCTCTATTTATTTAGTTCTCTTTTAATTTATCTTAGCAATGGTTTATAGATTGCAATGTTTCCTTATTCCATATATTTTGCTAGTTTTTTTCTAGATATTTCATATTTTATGTTATGTTAAATTACATTATTTTTCTAAGATTTAATTTTCTATTTGTTAGTATATTTGTATCCCCCTTATTATGAATGAGGTTGAATCTCTTTTCATATGTATAAAGGACATCTGCATTTTTTTCAGTGAACTTTGTGTCTCTTTTTTTTTAGAAGCTCTTCATATATTAGGGATATTAACTTAATTATATATTACATTTTTCCCAGTTTGCCATTAACATTTCACTTTGCTCTTGGTAGTTTAATTTTTTTACCCATATGATAATTTTTAAGCACTAAGTTTTGAAAACACCTCTTTTTCTGAGCAACTGAGATATTTTCTCATTAGGAGCAATGAGAATCATGTAACTGATTTGTTTCACTTTTTACCTTGGTGGCAAAATATTTTTCTAAATAACCTGCATAGCTATGTAAATCTCATATCTTGCATATCTGAAATGTCACCTTTAGTTTTTCCCCTAATTTATATTTACCGCTGTCTAGATTTTTATTTAGTATTTTTATTTTTTGATTTTGCAGTAGCACCTCTCATTAGACACCACAGGTTTGTTGTTAAATAAATGTGGTTATTAATAAAGAAAAGATTCTTCCAGTCATTGATACGCAACTTTACGGGGCTGGTGGGGTGTCATGGAGGTGGGAGTATAGTAGGCCCTTTACTCACTTCATCTCTGGGCAAGTGGCTCAACCACCATAGACATCTGAATTTCTTCATTTGTAAAATGAATGTTTTAACTATATCACAATGTTAAGAAATCTTCTCAAATAAAAATTATGTAGTGCTTAACTATTCTAATATATAAGTGATCTGGTTTGTAGAAAGACAGAGGCTAACAGAAGTTCAGAATTTTGAAAGAGTTTATATACAGAATGAATCTCCCTCCAAGTGAAAGAAAAATGAATCTATCATCCATTATTTGTCCCTTAGTTCAGCACTGTATTTTAAATCATATCACCGTATGATGGCTGATAAGCACAGAACTCAGTGCATGGGTGATTCGATGATTTATCAATTGGTACTTCTAGATTTGTAAATTTATCAGACTGGAAAACTGAAAAAGTCTTGTTTAATTTACAAGGGTGTCCAAAATTATACATAATGATTTAAATGAAGTAGGGCTTCTCACAGCGAGGGCTATGATAATTCTACGTGAATTATAACTTGTGTATAAATATAAAACTAGTTTTTTTTTCCTTCTTATTTTAGAGTGTGGAGGTGTACTGACTGACACTTATGGTTCTATTACGTCTCCGGGATATCCTGGAAACTATCCCCCAGGAAGAGACTGCGTCTGGAAAGTTGTAACCAGCCCCGGCCTTCTGATAACGTTCACTTTTGGGACCTTGAGTCTGGAGTATCATGATGATTGCAGCAAAGACTACCTTGAGGTAAACTTCTAGTTAGTAACCTATCATGCTATGATTAGAACTCAGAGAACTATGGTTTGGTGATGCCCAGGGATGACCACTGTTGATTAGCAATAGTTGGATGTGTTCTTCTTCAATAGGCAGCCAATGTCTAAGCCTGGCTAATATTCTTCATTGTGCCCGCTTGTTACTTCTTCTGGGCGCCATTCAAATCTGGAAAAGAGACTGCCTTGCTTTCCCCTGTCATTTCCTGGAAGCCCAGGGCCCATGGGAATGACAGAATTTATGAAACACTTAAGTAATGGCTGTTTTCTCCAATGTGGATTTAAATCCCCGTGGTCTGTGGCAAACTGACAAGATATTTCACAAAGTGACCACAGTGCTCCGTGAAGAAAAATAATAATGATTGTGTTGAAATGAACTGATAAAGGATGAGCCTTACTAGAATATACTGAGAATTGTCACTGTGAGGAGAGGGGTCAGCTTGTGTCCCTCCTGCTTGCGTTAGCAAAAGATTGAACTATGGGGGAAGAAAAAAGACTGTTACAGTCAAATGCCACATGCATGTAGGTATATAAAAAATTTGCTCTCCATTTGTAGACTGAAAAGATCATTGAGAAGATTGAGTTCTTATATTGTTCCTGTCTTAGATAAATTCCAGTACCCCTTGCGGTAGTGATAAAAGACACCATGCTTTTCCAAGCCCATTAGAGAAGAAAGGAATGCTATGGAATTATTCATAAAGGGTAGAAGGGCACCGCTATCAAATGGGGATCTCCACGAGTTAAAGCCATTAGTGATTTAGCAGTGGTGATGGATTTGAAACCTTTGGGAATCATTGCAAGATTTACCTTGCCCTGGAAAATTTCAGCAAGACAGTCTTTTGAATGTTGACATTAAAGTGAATTTTCTGGAAATTAATTTTCAATAAATCCCATCAAATTAAACTTAGAAGCATTTTTTTTCATTCCTACATATTAATTCGGGTACACATATAATAGAAAATATCAATCACTCCCCAATATTGAAATGCCTTTCATTTGTCTACATCTACAATCCATCAAGGAAGGAGTTAAAATATAGGACTAAAGTAATGCTGCCCTATAACTCTGCTACCAATAGGAAAAGTAATTTGGACAAAATTTGCCACATTAAAAGATTATGTCGTCCTTTTACTGCCTTGGTATTCTATGTATTACACAATTTGCAATTATAACACAATTATGGAGAGGTTAACATGATTATTTAACAGATTAAAAAGCAATAATTAAAAAAGGATTTATAAGGGCACATATTCATTGTTGTGGTACTTAATTATTAAATTTGTATCTTTTAAATTCATCATGCCATATTTTTGTTGTGTCTAACCTGACTTCACCTTTTCCACCTCTGATAGTCCTGAATACCTAGACCAAGCTGTGAATCAGTTGATATTGCTGGCATTCATTCTACTATTTTCTTTGCATATATTCATCTTCTTTTTCTAGATTACTGGGGATTCATAATTGTAAAACAAATGTCCGGGGTTGGGAAACCTGGGAAAGAAAACACTGAGATTGATTAGTAACATCATGAGAAAAAAATCAAAGTATATATCCAGTCTCTGAACTGAAATTCAGACAGAGATAAGACATCAGGGATGATGGGAGGAGTCTGTCCTCTCCTGAACCCCAGCCTCGTGTTAGATATATAACGTATTTCGCTGTGAACAATGTGCTTCCATGTATAATGTGCACCCATATTTTTGGCCCAAAATTTCAGGGAAAAAATATTTGTTTTAATTTTTTAGTTAAAATATTTTATTTGTTTACATTCAGGTACTTGTTTTTTGTATTATAAAGGAATTTTAGCATTTTTTTAACATATTATGGTACAAGAAATTTTATGTAACAAATAATTGCAAAACATAAGAACAGATACAAGGTACAAGAAATCTTATGTATCGGTAACAAATTTATGATATTTATGCATCAAGAAGGCCAAGGTCTTTTTGTCGTTCGTCGCAAGTTCAACAAAACCAATTATTGTATTCCAGGGTATTATTTTGCATACAGAAAATGTTATTGATTTCTAGAGTTATACTTTTAACTCATAAGCATAAATTAAAGAATTAAAAACATATATATAGATATGGAATTAGTACTATGCATGTATAATGCGCATCCTTATTTTTCCCTCACAAAGTTGGGCAAAAGCAGTGTGCATTATACATAGCAAAATACATTACATATATGTGAATGGAAAACCTCCCAGAGCCATTGCTTTTAAATGACGGGTTTTCTGAAGTTAATGTATAAAGTGATTTAGGCTATTAAAACCTGACCATTAGAGCTTAATGGTTCACTTTTTTTGTTTTAGATTCGAGATGGCCTTTTGAGTCAGGACCCTGTTCTTGGGAAATTCTGCACCACTCTCTCTGCCCCACCACTTCAGACCACAGGCCCCTTTGCCAGAGTCCATTTTCATTCTGACAACCAGATTAGCGACCAAGGCTTCCATATCACCTACTTCACATCACTGTGTAAGTAACCTGGTAATTGGGAGCTTAAGATGAATGACAAGGACAGTGCTATACTTATACCTGTTTTATTTTTTAATGTGATGCTGCAGATGACTTCCTTTCTTAGACTTATCACATGTGTTTGTAACCATTTCTCTCATAGTTCCAGATTTTTTCTTTATCTTCACAATGTTCTATTATTTGTGCTACAATACCCCTCGATCCCTAAATTATGGTAGACATTGTGAGGCACCTGGTATTAAATAATTCAGACATCCATTCCCTAGCTGTTATTCAGTGCTTTGTTGTGAGAGATGATGTTCATGAGAGAAATTCTGTCTGTCTCAACATTTGTCAGGTTTTATTGCTGTTATGCCCTGAATTTGCACTGATGCTTTAAACCAAACCAACGAGCCAACAAAAAAACAATGAAATGATCTGTGATTTTTATTTCAGGGCTATAGAGGATTTTGTTCTTAACACACATCATTGTGTCTTGATAAGAGGTCACAGGAAACAAAAATACCATATAGGCCTCAATATTAGGAAAAATAACAACAAACATCTTTTTCTTGTTCTCTTTCTCCATTTACTTTGGCTTCAGACTGAATCTGCAGCCGACCGCCCATAATTTGTATAATCCATACCTGTTTTCTCTGCAACCAACTCCTCTGACCACCTCTTGCTATTCTGTATTCATTATTTCTTTAATCTGATTAATTTTTCTACTTATATGTTCTTACACGTATTTCATACACTGCCTCAGATCTCCATGGAATGAAGGAGATTACAAATATATTTAAAAAGCAATTGGTAGAAGAGGATGTTAGGTGGGAAGTCAGATCACACATCTCTAACACCTGTTTCTTTAGGCAGTACCCAGACGTCCCTGAAGCACACGTCAAACTGGGAATCTTGTCATTAGATAAGATATATAAACATATTAGCCTGTACAGGGTGAATCAGGGGGCATATGATTGTGTGTGTGTACGTGTGTAAGTTTTTAAAACCTGAGCCAGAGGAATGGCCGTCCTCATGACCCTTTCTTTCTCTTCCCTGTTCTCTTCAGCGGATCTGCATTGTGGAGGGAACTACACAGACCCGGAGGGCCTTCTCTCTGAGGACTTGTCAGGACCTTTCACTCACAACCAACAATGCATCTATATTATCAAGCAGCCCGTGGGAGAACAAATACAGGTCGCCTTCACCCACGTGGAGCTGGAAGGTCAGAGTGGCTGTTCTCAGAGTTACATTGAGGTAACTTTTACTACTCCGTGGCCCTTAGATGATGTTTTTCAACTTTTTTTTTGTTCTGTAAAGCAGTGGTCTTCAAATGGTTGTTGGGCCAGCAGCACCCAGATCATCTGGAATGTAATTCTGTACCCTGTCCCAGACCAACTGAGTCAAACCCTCTAGGGGTAGGCTCAGCAATCTGTTTTAACAGGCCCGTCAAGTAATTCGGACGCAGGCTAGGGTCTAAAGACAGCTATTCTAGAGAGCATGGAAAAATTTGCCAAAAATAGATCTACGGATGGTGAAACAGGAGATTTGTAATGGAATAATAGCAAAGGACAAAAATGAAAGCTAAGACCGGAAACTCGTAATAATGCTAAATTACAAGCGATTAAACTGAGCCCTAATAACGAAGGTGACTGCAAAGAAGTAAGACTAATAGGATTCACTAATAGGATACAGATTTCAGAGGTTGTCCAGGACAATTTTATATGTGATGGAGCTCAAGCCAGAAGAGTAAAAGGATTTGCCCAGGTGAGCTAACTAGTCAGTGGAGAGAGCTAAGTTAAAGCATTGAATAACTCTTGTTTTAAAGTTTAGATTTTTTTTTTCTTCATTCGTTCTGCTTACTCTCCTTCAGAAAACTCTAATTCTGATTTAAGTGTGTGTGATGGTTGTAACAAGAGTATCTGAAACAAAAAGGCAGTTTTTGTTTGCCTGGCCTGGTATTTCTTTTGCTTAATTATTGGTCAAGCCACAAATTAAAGTGCTGAGCAAGAGAAACAAAATACTTTCTGTTGAGCGCAATCATTTTGTATAAACTCAGAGAGGCACTGACAATTTTGTTTGCTCATGTAAGTTAGACCAATTTATTTTTCCAGGAAAAACCTATATAACCTATAACCTCTTACCTCCCTCACATGTAGAGAGAAGAAACAGAATTTTAGCATAAGATCTAGACTTAGCTGAAAAGTGAAGTCCATTGCCCATGGTACCACAGCAATATATATTTTTAAACTCAGAGATTTTTTTTTTTTAAATTTCGGATAATGAGGTGAATGTGTCTATTCATTCAATTTGTGTTTTCTAAAATCACTCACAAGGTACATTAATGTTTTATGCTGTGGAGCAATTTTAGATATTTTTTGTATATAAAAATTAAACATCTGTCTTCCAACGTCTTTTTTTTTAACTTTGAGAACAGTAAAAATAGCTCACACATAGAGAATACTTACTATGCACCAGGTGCTCTTCTAAGACTTTACAATACTGTAATAAATTAAACAGATAACAGCTACTGTCTCCTAACTGCCTGTCAGATATGGTACATGTTTTACATGAGTTAAATTCATTGAATCTTCACAGTCATTATTCCTATGTTTGCTACTAGGAAACTGAGGCCCAGAGAAGTTGTTACTTGCCCATGGTTGCATGTCTGGCGAGTGGTAGAGCTAAAAATTGAATTTACCAGTTCCAGTTGTACTGTTCTCTGATAGGAATAAAAATGCAACAGTGTAGCTACAACTATAAGAGGCAGCTCACCTTCACTAGGCAGGAAGCTCTCATGAATTTCACAGTTTCATTAACTGGCTTCCTGGTCACAGGACTATAACATGGATCCAATGCTTTTCTCAGGTAGGCAAAAATGTAACTAATTTTCAGGGAAATCTGAGTATATATCCTTTCTGGTGGTTCTACAGGCTCTCAGGAGTTATCAAAGCACCTGGAAGGATATATCCTCTCTGACTTTGCAGTACACTTTAACCGGATTTCACTAAGGAGTTACATAAATTCCTCTGAATTAATTGTTCTGAAAAGTTATCACACACACACACACACACACAAATCATAGAACTAGCATGGAAAGATTTAACTTTGTAAAACAGAATGGCAGAATATTTTGTAGCCAGAAAGCAATTAGAGTTGATTCATCTAAGTTCTTATTTTAGTTCAGTCATTCGATGACTGTATAACCTGGGACAATTCTTTGGATGCATGAGACCCTGTCTCTGTAAGATGCTCTACCTATTCCTCCAACCTTTGTGAAGGTAAATCAAGACATGAATGATAAAAGAATCTTGAAGAATTTAAAATATTATACAAATGCAAAGTTTTCCCAGGCCAAATTTCCAACTCCTGCCGTGAACTTCTCAGTTCAGAGGCAGCTGATGAGACCCCCTCATGGTTGGCCACTGAAGCGTCAACATTCTG